CATTCATTCATTCATTCATTCATTCATTTATTGTAACACATTGGGGAAGTTTGAGTATGTGTGCATTACTTTCCTCTGTGTGACTCCAGAGCTCTTGCTTTACACACATACACAATGACATGATCACCAAGTGTACTTTTAAAGGGAACTTCATTAACAGGCTAACATATGAAGTGCTAATTTAACAGATTATCAGGTTTGACTGTCATTCAAGCCAAATGGAACTGGTATAGGTCTGCATTAAGGGATCAAATTTACAGCATGTGTTGAAAAACTGCATGATGTAATGCCTGTTTGATTTTGTTGTGGATCTAACTCCTCTCAACCAGAGGCAGTATACGTTTATGTGTCATCTAAACAAAACCTAGTCATGTACAGACTGCCATAGAAACACCATTAACAGAAGAATAAATCAGTGAACCTTTAACGAACCACATATTTTCTCCGCTCTGGGGCAATAAGAGGCTCTTCCACGGTACATTTTGTGGCATGACCAGGGCTTATTAACTGTATTATCCTGGGAACATTTATGCTGCTTCTTCCAAAGAAGCTATTCATTTGCAGTTAGCTCATTAACACATTAATCTCTAAAATACCCCCAATGGCATATTAGACCACTATCATTCTGTTAGAGAAAGAGACACTTCAAATGTCAGCACATCAAAAAGGTTGAACAATACGTTATTTGTATGTCTGCGCTCATGAGTCCAACTGTAGCGCCAGAACCTCTATTTTTGTTCATTTATTCCCATGCCAAAAGCTAAGAATGTATACCAAAAAACAGGCAACCAGATCCTGAATGTTTACAAGTAAAGTTCAGAAGAAATCCAGAAAATCTGATTCAAGCAGTTATTATCTGTTCATACATAAACACATGGTAACGCATGACCAGAAGACTATTGCAAATACTGAAAAGTAGAAACACTGTAAAGCAGTGACAGGGTAGGACACACCTAAAACAGAATGTTGAAATAAAAAAGTGAGGTGCTGAAATACTTTTGTTTGCTATGCATTGCATATTGCATATAGCACTACTTTATTTACAATATCTTGGACTTGCATAGCAAGAGTCTGACCCAGAGAGAGAGAGAGAGGAGAATGAAGACAACAAAACTGGTTAGTTRGTAAGTCCGGAACTTATTTAGAAGTTCTGTCACAACTACTGTGTTATAATAGTTCAGAAAAAAGTCCTAGAGAATAGAGAGCTGAATGGGTTGAAAAATATGACTCAAACAGAATATAAAGCTATCTATGCAGCACTGGTAGAGACT